TTGTCACGGCCTCACGGGTAGGCCTGTCCATCCGGGCCGGCCCGGGCCGGCCCGGCCCAGAAATCCGGGCCCGGGCCGGGCAAAACCGGAGCCCGGACCCGGGTACCCCGGGCCGGGTCCGGGCCCGGGCCCGGGCCCAACCGGGCCGGGCTCCGGGTCGGCCCGGATTTTTTTCAATTTTTTCCTTTTCTTTTTTTTTGATAAAAAATACTAAAAATTAGTTTAAATTTATTATATTTTATATAATTATGTATTAGTATATACTTATAAATTATTATGTAACTATATATTATATATATTATATATACATATATTATATATATTATATATACATATATTATATATATTATATATACATATATTATATATATTATATATACATATATTATATGTAAATATATTATATATATTTATAATCTATAACTTAAGAGAGAGAAAATCGCATAAGTAGCCATTGTCCGTTGGGCCAATGGGGAAGAAGTAGCCGTTGTAATATACTATACTTATATACTAAGAGAGAGAGTATACACACACATATTATACATATATAAGAGAGAGTATACTTATATAAGAGGGAGTATACATATATAAGAGAGAGTATACCTTTATAAGAGGGAGTATACATATTATACATATATAAATAAGAGAGTGTATACCTATATATACTTATATAAGAGAGAGTATACATATATAAGAGAGAGTATACTTATATATACATATATACTAAGAGAGAGAGTATATACACACATATTATACATATATAAGAGCGTTTTCGGTCAACAAAAAAAATAAGGCTACCATTTGAGAAAAAAACATCAGGTAAGCAAGCAAAACTTGATTAGTATAGATCAAATGAACTTGATTATATAAAAATAAAATAAAAAGTGACGCATATTTTCTGCGTACTTCGTTTTGTCATACGGAAATTATTTAACTTTAGTGGCAGGCGGATGCTGTACTAAGTCTTGCGATTCAAACAAAAATGAGAACACTTGGTTTCTGTAGGATTTTTACAAGAAAACATTTATTTTTTTGAGAAAAGAAGGAAAAATTAATGAATTTTATTCGAAATTAAGATGATTCTCTTGGTGTATATGAAGCGCGACCCCTTTTCTTTGTCACGGCCTCACGGGTAGGCCTGTTCCATCCGGGCCGGCCCGGGCGGCCCGGCAGAAATCACGGTGCCCGTGGACCGGGCAGAAACGGAGCCGGACCGGTACCCGAGGCGCCGGGTCCGGGCGCGCGCCGGGCCCACGGGCCGGGCTCACGGCGTCGGGCGCCGCGATTTTTTTCATTATGTTTCCTTTTCTTTTTTTTTGCATAAAAATACTAAAAATTAGTTTAATTTATTATATTTTATATAATTATGTATAGTTTATACTTATAAATATTATGTACACTAATATTATTATATATTATTTATAACATATATTATATGTAAAATATTTATATATATTTATAATCTATATGTAAAGAGATGAGAAAATGAATTTAAGTAGCATTGTCCGTTGGGCGCAATAGAGAGAGCACAGTACAGCTGTTTTTGTACATATACTATACTTATATACTAAGAGAAGAGATATTACACACAGCATAGTTTACACATATAAGCATTGAGAGTATACTATATTATGAGGAGTAGTACAGGTATATAAGAGAGAGTATACCTTTATAAGTTAGGGAGTAATACATATTATTCATATATAAATAAGCAGGTGCTATACCTATATATACTGTCATATAAGAAGTAAAGAGTATACAAGATAGGAGAGTTTATATATATATATATATACTAAGGAGAGAGAGTATACACACAAACTATTATACATAATATAAGAGAGAGTATACTTATATATAACATATATACTTAGAGAGGAGAGTATATATATACACACACATTATATCTATACATATATTAAGAGAGTGTATACTTATATATACTTATAATAGAGAGACTTACATATATATAGATGAGTATTACTCTATATTATACATATATACTGAGAGGAGAGTATACACACAACACATCATATTATACATATATAAGAGAGATATACTTTATTAATACATATATTACTAAGAGAGTAAGATATAACACACATCTATATTATACATATATAGAGAGTGTATACCTATATATACTTGTATATAGAGAGAGTATAAACATATATAAGAGAGAGTGTATACTTATTGATTACATGTATAGTATAAGAAGAGTATATATTACATACATCATACATAATTATATATATAAGCAGAGAGTATATATACAGACTATCTATAATATATAGAAATATATTATATATACATATATTATTATATATATATATATATATATATATACATATATTATACATATATAAAAATATATTATATATACATATATTATACATATATAATACATATAAAAAATAAAAAAAAATAAAAAAAATACTATTCCGGGCCGGGCCGGGCACAAAAAAGGCGGCCCGGGCCCGGCCCGGAGCCCGGACTTGGCCCGGGTTTCCGGGCCGAGGCCGGGCCGGGCCGGGCCACGGCCCGGCCGGGCCCGGGCCGGTGGGCTTTTTGGACACCCCTACTCACGGGGAAAGGATAGACTACAGGAAGGAGGTTTCAAGTGATGTCGTGCTTCTGGAAAGCAAGTTGGCAATATAATAATCAAAGTGTTTGGGGGAGAGAATCATAAAGACTTGTGAAAAGGAGTAGGACCTTTTCTATGTTGCTAATTTCATCATAAATTTACTCAGTTTTACGGTGGGCCCCCGCAAGCCAAAAAGCATTTCCGTTTTAAATATCCTAAGCTTCTTTGTTTGGTGACCCACCTCAATGATATTGCTTGGAGTTTGAGCATTTTTTTAATTTGTTCTGGCTTTTTAAGTGAGTTAATTGCAAATACTTCGCCTGTACTATGATGATGTAGCCACTTAAATCATGTATAACCTTTTGTTAGCATCTATGTTTTCTGAATCTCAAACAATCTTAATTTTACCCTCAATTTGGAGGGCAATTCAGTATTTTTTTTTTAGCGAAGGACAAATTAATTTAGATTCCCACATGATATCGTTAACTATCTTGTAAAACAATATTGTTTGGAGTTGAAGAGTTTAAATGTTAATAAAATAGGACATTAATTTATCATTACACGATTCGCACATGATATCTTTAACTATCTTGTAAAACAATATTGTTTGGAGTTGAAGAGTTGAAGTGTTAATAAAATACTTTGGAGTGAATAAATAGCTATAACTGTAGTAAAGAATATGCTTTTGCAATTAACTCTTTTAAGTTAGACAATATTTTACACTTTTACATGTAGAATTTTCCTAATCTCATTTTGTTTTCTTATGGAAATTTCTGCTTAGCTTTCAAATCATTGACTACTATCTTTCCTTCTAGTTTCTACGTGATGAGAGCAGCGCGCATAAGTTGGGGATACTTTCATACTTATCATGGTGTACAAAGAGATCTAGAGTTACTCTATTACCACTAAAGTCCAACACCGGTAACTTCTCTCCTTACAGAGAAAAAAAATAGGATTCAGATCCTCTTCACTATCTAAAATGTAGTGGATGGACCACTATATAATCACAATAATTGATTATCTAGTTGGTGGTTGTGATTTTTTTAGTGCAAATTAGGAATGAGTGCAATACACGGTGGTATGGTAAGTGTTAGATTTAGATTGTATCATAACCACCTATTAAGTAATCAACGATTGAAATTAAAAGTTTCTCTCCACTACTTTTTTGTAGGGAAGAGGATCCAAATTCAAAAAAATAGCATAGTTTCAAAAAGACTCTCATTAAAAAAAAATTCTCATGATCCACATGCATCGCAGGAGAATTACTTAGATTTTTATACTTTTATTTATGACATGTAGGCTCGTGTTACTTTCTTTAGGGTGGCTCAACCTATCTAGTCTACTCTCCATGTGGTGTAAACTTAGAGAGTTATAATTGAACAATTATATATACTTGAAATTGTATTAAAGAATCCATCTTGTTACTTTATATTTTGTTGTGAACGTTGACTTCACCATCTTCATAATTGCAATTTGAGATTGCTTGTCCGCTTGAAATTCACTCACAAACCGTGTGAATCTCATTTCTATAATTTCACTTGAACGAGACAAGGACACGTTGATGCAACTCATGGACTTTATATGGGCTTTCATGGATTCGCAAAAGCAAATGAAATTCCAATAATAATTAAGCAGTCCTACGAACTTCGAAAGTTTTTCTCTCAATGTATGGATTGAGCTATTTCAACGGACGATCCGCTCCATTTATCATGATCTAGATGTCTTAAAACACCTACAAAATAAAAATCATGACATTTGAATATTTCCAACACATATTTTTCATCGTCTCTTTGGTTGCGTTGTCATAAAACCGTTAATTTTACTATCACTTGATGCATTAGTAAATAAAACCGAATATGCCTAATTTTTTGTTTTCATGTCATCCAAATCATATAGATCAAAATAAACGGAGTGGATCAAGTGAATTAATTGCGTATAATCTAATTTTGAAGGTGTATCCCCAGATTCAATCTAAGTTGACTCCTTAAAATCATATTTCCCGTGCCTCTTTCCTGGCCACTACTGCAGAAGCTGATATTGGTCACGGCTGGGAAATGTCAATACTACAAAAAGAATCAACAGTGCTTATAGAAAAGTAGAGAAGCGTATTCTAGCAATAATCACGAGCTCATTATCAGAGGAAGTTACTTTGCAGCAAATAAGAAAAGAAAAAGAAAACAAATGTACAATAACAATAGCGAATAGCATGAAATATTCATCTCCAAGAGATTTTCTAATTATGCATCAATTAGGAATCTCTTTGTCACATCTAAAATAATCAAATATTTTATATTATCAAAGGAATGAGAGAATATGCATTCCCTATTCCCTAGCGACATTGAGCAAGTAAAGAATTATATAGATATGAATGAAGTAAGCGGGAACGTACGGTAGATTACTGATAATGGAAAACAGAAAATGAAAAACAGTCTGCACTGTTAACTGATAGAGTGGGAAAAAAGGTTTGCATTTCGCAAAGATAATACTGTACAGAGGCAGCAGGCAAAATAACAAAACAAAACAAAACAAAAGACACATTTTCTTTCCAAATGAAATGTGAAGGGTCGATTAAGATCAGAAAGGGGAAAATATTAGAAAGACCACTAAAAAACAGTGCTTTCTGCATCTCCTTCAGCCTCCTTTCTGCTTAGTGTTTCCCTGTAAATCTTATACAACATACATAGCAATGAGACTTGGAGAGGGACAAAGATCGACATGAACCTTGAACCCTAAACCGTTCTTCAAACGATAAAAACCATGACCCATGAGCTCAGGGTAGTGATATTCTTGTTCTCGAAGCTATAAAACAGAGGAAGATGACGATGAAGGAATCCTTCGAGAACTTGAAGGACTTTCATGGCTACCAGAGGATTTATTTGACAGCCGGCGTTTGTATCTTTTGAGTACAGAAGCCAAGTTTTCTTTCCCTTTGGGAAACGCAACATCTCCTGCTGCAGTGCCAGTTCGTCCTTTTCGTCCTGAAACTGCAATCTCTACATCTTTGATGATTTCAAGGACCATGCTTGTGCTGGTTAAGGGTTTACTTGGGGGTTTCTCTGTGGATCTTAGAAACCCATTTTGTGAAGATGCAGTGAAATTTCTTGCTGCTTCTGTTGCTTTTTCAACACAGAAACAAGGAGGGAGAGGTTGTCGAGGCTTGGAAAATGCAGGTTCAATTATTCCCTGTATTGGATGAGACATCTCAATGAGGAGAAAGTTTTAGATGTTACATGAACATGAAAAATCTTGTAATAATCAAATGTATACAGAAGATTGTAACTAAAAGGAAAAAGATCACATAAACCATCCAATGCATAAAAGGTCAAATCTCCTAGATGCTGGCTACAAAGAAAATACAAGGCCAGGTGGTGATTATTAGGATGATGCTTCACGTTGCAACTGCAATGTAGATAAAAGACTGCAAAACTTCGAGTAATATAATTATTTATCCTGGTTTTCAACAGTGGAATTACTATATGTTGGGGAATTTTACTCTCCCCACCTACTACAATATGCGCAACTTGAAAACCAACCCACAATCAACAAGATAGAAAAAAAACCACAATCAAGAAGAAATAACACCAAGATTTATGTGGTTCGGTCGACCAACTTCGACCTACATCCACGAGGCAACAATACGAGAAATCCACTATGTATCAGGAAGAACTACAAGAGGAACCACTCAACTCTCGTCTCTCAATCTCTCAACCTCACATACATAATCAGCTCTCATATTCTCTCCAAAGCCCTTTCCTTACAATCTTTTTAACGGACAAAGACTGCGAAACCCTCGCCTCTCACACAATATTCTTGAATCAGGCTACGCTCTCTGCTAACCTTAAGAGTATAAGAATGTTGGTCATCTCTCCTCTCCTTAGTTTTTCCTCCAACAATAGAAGAATATATATAGGAAAATCAAAATCTTATCTCTAACCTAACTTCCTAATTAGAATAGGATTCAAACTCCTAATTATGATGAGACTCAATCTCCTAATCATGATAAATCTCTAATCCTATCTAATTCTCATGAAGTTATACAAAGAATCAAAGACACAATCCCAACACTATAGCCTTCCTTGGGGACGTGAACATTTACCAGAGTACGTAAATTGATTGGATCTCCCTTTGCTTCTTTTTCCTATATCATTTCAATCTTGTAATATCATACGCACACGGCTTCATGAATGAATAAAACCCAAATCCAACCCATGGTCACTGAGGTTTGAGGAAGATGTGGTTTGTAAATGCTAGAACTAGGCTTGAATTCTTAAAACTTTGTTTTTTTTTCGCTCAGTACAGTAAGAGTAAGTAAGCATATCTCAGTCAAGAGCAGGTGAGGTGCAATTAGCTCAGCCTTATTAGCCCGCTCCTAAATTCCATTGTTGGTTAAGCTTCAAACTGAAACAGGAGCTGAACCATGCACTCTTAAGCTTGCACGATTGATAAAATTTCCACTTACTCGTCATGTTCTCTTTTAGTGGTCATTGCCAAACATGAGTGTTTAGAGATAATTAGAGGGAGCTCTCAGATCATGTTCATTGAGGACCCACACATTTCAGATGCTCCGTTCTACAAACGGTTAAGGAGTTTGTTCGTACCATGTGCTGTATTCTAAATTCAACCAAAACCCCTCATTGTATCACTAGGAGCCATATCCATGTGTTACTAAGCTGCACTTATTATCTAAGTTGGCATTGCATATGTTATATGTCCAACACTAATTATATATAAGCAAAAAATAAATATAGCGTGATGAGTAAATTGTACCTGAAGACGGTTTAGAACGTATGTGTATTTTCCCCATAACTCTGGCCGACTCTCTACAAGCGATAATTCTAAAATACGGCGAATGCACCACACACCAAAGCTTACAATTAGGGCCACTTGCCATACACACGCATCTCCACAACTAGGAATTGACTGGAAGCAAGAGATATCTACATCTTCTTTATCTGCTCTGTATTTCTCCGAGGAAGCAATCTGATCAATTAGCTCCTCGTCAAACCCACCATTCTGTTTAAATAACCACTCTGAGCCCTCCAATTTCAGCAGCTTCATGATGCAAACCCTTAGAGATAGAAGCAGCTTGGCACCGGATTCTGCATAAGGAAAGGTCTCTTTGGGAGGAATACTGGATCTTCCAAAAGCTCCATCACTTCCCATCTGACTTTTACCTGCCACACCAAAAAATTGCTCGAAAGGTTGCCTAGACCAAAGCGATTTGGTGTCTGGATTTAAACCAAAAATATCTCTATGCATCTTGGGTGGAGAAAGCTGATCAAATGCTAAAGGAACTCCAGCTCTTGAAGCAGGGTTCAAATATTGCGATTGATCGGATGCCCACCTACCTGAGGATGGGCGAGGGCCAATTGGAGCACCTCTTTTTGCTTCATTCAAATATGCATTTCTTCCTAAAGCAATAATAGCCGAAATGTCAGGTGAACTGTGATATTTCTTTGTATAGGCAGAAGAATTAACACTGTCACTAGCTTCACCAAATGATGATTCATAGTAAGTCGCTGCAGTCTGTAATCTGTTCATGCTAGACAAAACTGGATTTTGTAAACTAGAAGTTCCCAATGCACCAAGTTCATTTTGTGCATGGTTATACAAAATTTGATCCCTTAAAGCTGACATAGAAGATGCAGAGTTGGGAGTTGGTGGCAGATTTTGTGAGATGGTTGAGGAATAAGGAGCTCTTGTTGCACCAAGTTCTCTGAGATAAGAGGCCATCTGATAACCATGTATTGTAGCCGGTTGATGATCCTTGTTATCAGAATATTGTGGCAGCCGCAAACTAGAATAAAGCCTTTCACTAGGATCAACCAAGTTGTTAGATGAGCTTTGCACATGTGAAGTCAATGGTTGCATATTCTGAGACCACGACGAGGAACCCATCTGAACTCCAAAAGGTAAGTCTACATTATGATTCTTCATTTGTATCTGGGAACCATAATCTCTTGTGGTTGTAGGAAAAGTGGATCCCATATCAGTATCTGGAAAGAAATTCTTGGAGGCTTCTGTTCCAATGGCATCTGATTTTACAGCTGAACCAACTGGTCTTAGATCTGATCCCAATCCAAGAAGGACATCCAGTCTGTTCGTCACTGCTTCTTGTGTTAGTTTCCCATGAAAATCAAATAAATTACCCCAGAACTCATCTAGAACGGAAGCTAATTGGCGTCGTGCTGCTCGTCCCAACCCTGACAACCTTGACAAGCTCCCACTACCATTCAAACCATCCAGACCTTTTGACTTGACACTATTGAAAGATTCAAGGACCTCAGGAGTTGAAGAAAGTGGAAATCCTTTGAAGGACTCCTCTGCGTCCACAGTAAAACCTTCACTCTCTCTATCTTTGGGGATGTATGTCAGTGATCCTTCATCTTTCAGGCTTGGTTCCCTATAATCAATCCTTTCATAACTGTTGGCACTCAACAAGCATCCAACAGATGCCTTATCTGCAGTGTCTAACAAGTCAACTTCAACTGCAGACTTTGGTTCTTCTTGGTCGCTCTTCAGGGGCATAGAAGCCACAGTTATACTGGAACTCTGAGTAGAATGGTGAGATTCATGGTCAGAATCGATAGCTGTCTCAGGGAGATCAGGGTTGGAGTCCAGCATTGATTTCTCATATTGACTCTCCGCAGACTTCTCGAAGGCATTTTCTACAATAGACTCCTGATTTTCATCATATTTATCCACATCGACATTATTATCTTCTGCATCTTCAAGCAGCTCTGACTGATCTTTTTGCAAAGTACCAGTCCAGATATCTGCTTCCGGCCTATTGCTTGCAGATTTCAGTGGTGTAACAGCAAGATGTAATGTGAATGCTATGGATGCACAAGCAATGAGAAGAACAGAGTAGGAAATTATCAGATTGTTCTCTGTGCTTCCCATCAGATTTATCATCCAACTGTTATTTCCAAATAACATTTCTATTACAAAGAAAATGTTAGACGCAAACATCACAAGGAATGCAACCAGAGAGAGGATTTCCAAATGCCAAGAAATTTTGAAAGCACGCATGACAAATCTTGATGATGCCACACGAAAAAGGGGAATCACTGAAGACGGAAGCAGCATCGCCAGAATAACCTGACATAAAATTAGCAATTGATATATCCCTTCAGCACCAGCACTCTTGGCACAGTAAAGAGCTGGAATGATCATGATGATCTTAACTATTGCATGATGGACCTCAGATAGGTTAATACCAAAGAAACATGGGAAAATCACTTGTCTACCAATATTCCGAGTTAAAGCAGTAATCTGACTAGAGAAGAAAAGGACCAGAAAAAATGCAAGAGGTGCAACTGGACTTCTAAATATCTGTAAAAGGATAAGGAACAATGTGTTAGCTAAATGCATTTACAGTTAGATCGTGCATGCAGGATAATATATGAGATATTACCAGACAGATAACACCAATACCTCGAAAAGCATACTAAAATATAAGAAGAAATGGTGTTATAATAGGCTGGAAATACAACTGGAATTTCCAAACTTTTCAAATAAGAGAAGATGGCAGCACATTTTAAAAGTGAGAAACTGAAACTCAATAAATTTCAGACTGCCCTAGAAGATGTCTGGCAAAGGTTGAACAATCACAGCAGGGATTACCACAACTTCATGCACTTCTATTCTTGTTGGGTAGATAGGCCAGCATGTGCCTGTTTGACTAGATGAAACAAGTTTTCTGTGAACATCCAACAACAAAACTGAAGCAGAAGCTAAAATTTGCATCGGTAGGTGATAGGAAACAGGGGTATCCACTTAACAGAACTTCTGAACAGTGGATCAACCCTTGATCATTTGCTTAAACTCAAAATAACAGAGTAATACCAAATTAACCGCAAAAACATGACTTCTCCATACCGTCTATATGTCCAGTTATAGATAAAAAAGGAGAGACCCCCTCCCCCATGCCCACCACCCAAGAAGCAAAAGAATCCCTTCTTTCTTCACGCAATCCATCCTTTTGTGCTGAGGTAGTTACCAGTAATTTATTTCTAGATGCACATATTTCAGTGTTTGGGAAAGTAAGTGGTTGGGTCCAAAACTTGTTATTCACTCAGAATGGAGTGTCCCAGTTTGCATTGCCTTTCTTCCCACTTTTGTTATACATGTTGATTTGAAGCCTATACAATATGATTACATTGTGGGGCACTAATATAGAAAATATGTCCTATAGTTAATTTCTACTGTCCATATGTTGCTTTTGTCAAAATAATCTTATACCCATCAAAAGTATTCATCCTATTGAAAGGCATATCAACATCGCAGTGGCAATAGCTGTGAAGATTGAACAACTTCTATATGAAGGATCCCATTTTCAATCAAACAAGACAACACATCAACTGAAACAAGGTTATCAGTAACATATGAGAAGCACAAACGTCCATAGAATAAAAAGACAAAATCAGAGTAGGTACTAACAACCATTAGTAAAGATTTAGGAAGGTTAGCCTATCAGTATACAGGTCAGATTAATGCAGCCTTTAGCTTAATACAAGACACCTGGACCAATCAGGCAACATATATTAGGAGTAAAAGGCAATCAAGTAAAAGAAACCATATGACAAGCAAACACAAACCACAAACCACAAATATCTGCCAGAGCCTGATTCAAAAAGAAGAGAATAATACAAACCTGGTCCATTAACATGGAAACATCTGGGAAGCTGAAGGCAACATCTGTACTACCGAGCACTGCTGCTGCTGAGTTCATCAGCACGTAATTTGCCAAGAAAATGCCAGTAAAGATGAAGAGGATAGCAAAAAAATGGTCATGAAATAAGGCACCAATAGCAACATTTTGTTGTCTCTTCTGCTGCAGCATAAAAATGAAAGTAACCCGTTACAAATAAATTGATAGAAACAAGGCTGTTATGCATAAGATGAGAGATGAATGCATGAAAAAAATAGTTTGCACCCACAATTAAGAAACCATGCATTCAAAAACTCAAAAAGAGACAAACAAGATCTAGGGGATATAATCCAGGATGAGGTGGCTAGTAGTAAGTTAATGAATAAGAGGTCCATCTTGAAAACTTCTTGAAAACTACATAGTACTGGTAAGCATAAGAACTATGAAATTAGAAAATTGCAAACATGTGCTAAGGATTGCTGTGAAAGGGGAGACAATAACTTGCAGCATGCAATCAATTCGATTGGTTGTATTAAATGCCAACATGACATCCCAGAACGATTTACATATAAAACTAACTTATTTCAACGGTCGCGATTAGCACTTTGCTAAGGAAATTTCCATAATTCAGTCCTTTAGAACATCATTTAGGAAGATATTTCATATTAGTTTTAGAAAAATTAGTCTGTGAACAATTCAGTTCCACACAACCCCATTTTTAATTAGGTCGTGACCATTGCAATTCAAACCAAAAAAGGAGAAGAGCAGTTGGGTGAAATCATATCTTTGATGAGAATGGAACTGTTTCATGTCGTGCACTGAAACTTGAAATGATTACAGATGCATTAAAACAGATTGCAGGTCGCATGAGCTTACAAGGTATTCAAATTCATATTCAAAGATCAGCCAGCAACAAGTACAGTTGATGATGAAACAGTTGACAAGTTAAAAGGTAAACAAGTAATAAATGTTACAGGAAAATATAACCGGATTACCTTTACAATAGAAGAATGAATATAAAAGTTGTGCACCATTATGTTTGCACCTAGAAGGGCCATCAATGAATATGCACTCTCACCACTCAACTTAGGAAAAATGCCACTAGTCATAAGTGGAACCTCTGGTTGACTAATTAAAACCCCAAGCACATAAAAGAGAAGCGCGAAGGCAGCTATCCCTATATACAGTGCTTCTGCCTTGAAATTGTCCTGCAGTCCAATTAGTATTGACATTGTAGTTGGCGTATTTCTGGTAACATACTAGTATTGACAGACAAAACAAAGTGAATGAAAATTTTACCAAGAGTGCAAGAAATAAGGGAAGCAAGACAATGCCAATTGTGGCATAGAAGATAGATGCATATAGATCCATCCCAAAAAGAAGACCAAGCCCATGCCCTATTCCCAGAATCTGGAGTTTCAACACAAGAGCAATTCAATCCTTGGCATTTATTAGAACAACTATAGCTTTGCCTCTCTGCACTTTTCATTTCACATTTGCATTCATGTGAAAATGCAAAGCTGCAGTTATATGACCATAATGTTAAATGAAGCATACCATGGTTATATCTGATATAATCATAGACAGTTCTGCTTGCACTCCCAGTGACATGCATGTGAACCTGCAATACTCCTCACTGCAAATCTTTTGAACAAATGATATACAAATTTAGCATACAAAGAGAGAGTCATGTATTGAACATTCATAGGGCCCATGATACTTGAGCTATCAAAGAATAAATGCTAAAATATGTCGGGAGTAATTTGAATCACGAAGTACTGAAACGTGCAAAAGAAAGAATTAGAATAACGATAAACAACAGATATTTGTTTCTTTCCAATTATTTAAGCTTGTAGATAATTGGTCTTTGTTGAGTATTACAGAAAATGTTATATTTAATCCTTGGTGGATTTGCTAAAGCTTTCAGGTAAAATTGATCATCCACATGGCTGTTGCTATTAAAACACCATGAGTGAAAAAGATTATGTATTCAAACCTCATAATCGAGAAGTATGTCCTTTCAGTGTATCTTATCATCCATGTGAAAGAAATACGTATTATTTTCATGTGAGGAGAATATTGAATGTTAGAAGTACGTATACAGTTGTTCCACCATCATCACTAAAAATATTTGTTTTTTGGGTAACATGATATGTTTGACCGTCCCCGGAACTTGGCTTGTAGGATGAATTCTAGATTTTTACAGCAATTTGACGACGTCATTAGCAGAACATGCTACCTAAACCACCCTCTACATCCTTCCCACACCAATCTAAATCATAATTAAACAACCATTAGGATGCATCTGATGTTTCTTCGAAAACAACCAACAAATAGTTCGGAGAAGTACTCTCAGTCATTACAGCCTAAAAGTTAAACTGGGCATCTGGGTAATGTTAGTAGTTCAACCTGTGAGATAACCATTGTGCCCAAATTGATGGTTGTGCTGGACCATTCATAAAATTCTACTCAACCAGACTTTGATGCACAAGGAAGGCCACCAACACGTAGCTTAAACTGACGGAGAGAATCAATCAACAATGCATTTGAGAAATAGTCATAGATGGATTAAACCGTGTAGAATTTCAGTTTATCATCCACATGAGGTTATAACAAAATTACGGGGCATGCCTTCAGAGGGCTCGCAGATCTGCAGGATAGTGTCCTTTCACATAACAGTATACCACATTTTAGGCATGTTTAAGAGAATTTTCATGCACCAACCAACCAATTTAGACATTACTATACCACAAAAGAAATTTAACAACATTGTCAATTAACATGCTGAACAAGTGTAACTGCACATTCAAAAGAATCAGTTACATCTAGTCCAAGCCAGAATTTCTCCTCATCTATTCATGGAAGTTCTATCATTGGAAATGCAATCAGCTAGAAGTAAATGCTCCATTAAGAAACAGTAAGAGTTCCAGGATTCCAGCACAGAATAAAAACTAAACATTAGTGATGATTGAAAATTAAAAAAATAATAACAATACCTCTGCAAGATTCTTTCCAGTAGCTGTACCAATACAAGTTGAGAGGTATTGACACAAGATGGCGAAGCAATTGAAGAGCATAACCACGAACACAAGGTCAAAGCCAAAACGTGCCCCACCCTCAACCGCTGCCACCCACTTCCCAAGATCAATATACCCCATGGAAATCATAAGTGCAGGTCCAAGTGATGGAAAAAGATGACTCATCATGCCTCCAGAGGCCTGAGATGCCATTGCTAGAATCTTAGTTGCAGATATCTTGGGAAAAGCTAGTATAAAGATGGTTCTGATGAAGCCTATGAACTGATGCCAACTGATTAAATAATATCTGATGTACAGCTAACAGTGACAACTGCTCTATTTACTGGTCATTTACCATCTCGAGGCTTCCAATGTTAATTATCGACTATCTTCCAGAAATAGCACATAGCCAAAAATCTTGACATCAAAGTCATTGCCCAGTTCCAAATCTGAAGGACTCGATCCTAGAAGCTTAATTTAGTAACAGGGTTGTCCAAATATATATATGTCGGCATGGAAGAGAAATAATTTGCAACTGCTAATTCCTCTAGCAATCTGTTAGATACTCTTTTTTCTCCTTGATATGAAGCAAGCAAGACTCCGAGATTCAACAATAATTACTCCTAAAAAGAACAAAAAAAGCCTTGTATCCTGCTAATAAATCTCCCAGTTATTCACAGTACTAATTTAGCTCCAGTCACGAGCAATCACCTGCAACAAACAAATTCACCACGAAATTTTAAAAGGAAATAGAAGTTAATAAGAACTTATTTTCACATTAATCACTGCCTAGCTCAGCAAGTATTCTATTCAATAATCTTGATAAATTTCCCTATCTGAAATAAAGCAATATGATTAATAATTAACAAGTTATTCTAGCATTTATCTCTATTCAATAATCTCTGCAACTTTCCTAATATCATATAAATCGAAATAATAGATAACTAAGCATTCAGAAATCTCAACAACAAATTACAACTACAGATCGCTGAAATTGATCCCAAAAGGAACAAGATCCAGTGAGCTCAGCTCAAGTCAACCCGGACCCTTACCTCAACTACTCTCTCCCAAAATTCACCACTAAATTCTCAAATCAAGAACTCAAACTACAATAAAAAGGGAAAAGGATTCAAATAATACCTCGCTCGTTCCCGCCACCGGAAACTTCGCCGGAGAGAGGGATGAAAGAGATCGGAGGTCGCCGATTCAACCGCCGCCAGCTCAGCCACAGGATTCCTCGAGCGAAAGAGATCCCAAAAGTTACTTTTTTTCCTCGTTTTCAACTCCTTTTCTCTCCTTTCTCGAGAAGCTTCAACGAGAAGCAGCAGCAGCCAGCTAAAGCAATTGCCCTTCTCCTTTTTCTCCCTTTATTTAGGGGATATTTTTCTTTTTTAATATAGTTTTGGGTTTTTTGTATAAGTCCCTTACATCTTTAGTATTTTGAAATTCTTCCCTTGAATCATCAAAATTGCTTTAACGACCAATTTGGTATGTTTGGTAAAAAATATTGTATGTTTATTTTTTAAAAACTTATTTTAGAAGCAACTTGATTACTTGGGGATGGATCTGATAACAGCTTATATTTTAATAGTTTTTATAATATATACGCTTTGGTTTTTTAATAATATTATCTTATATGTCCTAAAATTATCTCGTCTATTGATAGCTAAAGTTATATCTATTTTAATTATTTTCACACATAATGATCTTTATGCAATAAATGTCTTAACTATTTTTTAAAACAATTTATGACATATTATTACCAATCCATTATTTTCAGCAACAAACAATTTATTTGTAAGCTCAAGATGCGTATATCTTACTATTGCCATGTAGAAATTGGGGGATATAATACCAATTTCAATGATTTGAGTGGCTAAGTTATAGAATTGGAGGACACCATACCAACTTTAATCATTTGAAGGACTGATTCGAAAAGTTTCAAGGTTTAAGGGAATAATATAAAAAACCATACATTTTTTTAATTTTGAAAGAAGCAGACTCCGTCGATTGGGCAGCGAATGGCTGGCTGGCTGCTGATCGAGGTGACGCGTCGCATAAATATTTGACGATCACTTGTATAATAATATATATCTGTGATTTTTGTGGTGACTCACATGGGAGAGGAGAATATTTATGCATATTTCGTTAATATTTGACGATCACTTATTAAAGTTTGATTTGGTTTTAATTAATGAGAGGATGAAGTGTGCAGTTGGGAAAAGTTGTGTAAAGTAATAAAAGTCCCGTGAATTTTACTTTTTTATTTTTTTGTGGGAAAGCGACAGTTTATAAGTGAGATTAAAGGATTGTTTTGGATTTAAATGGATAGTAGATCTCACCAATGTGGTAATTGTGAAGGGTGATTTTTTTTAATCCAAATTTGCATATAAAATTAAATAATGTTCTGAGACTCGTATGAAAAAGATAGGTATGTGACTTTCACCAACTTAATAAGTGACAGTTTGACTGGGCATCGAAAATGGAAATTTTGCTACAGATGCTCCACTGTTTTTAGGAGTGTTGAAAGGAATGAAATATAATATTATGTTTTTCTACTTTTATTCAGATTATTTACCAATTTTTAATTTAATAGTTGTTTCAATGTGATGCATGGAATTTAAATTAATATTCGCATATGTATGTTAGACTTTTAGGGAAAGTGAGAATATAAAGTTAAGATTTTTTTTAAGAAAGAGAGAAGAAAATCAATAATTTATAGGAAATTGAAAGACAAAGAATAGTCATTTCCACGATGTAGGTGATAGCTGATTAATAAGAAATTGTTGGGAAAAAAAGAGATTATTTGTCATTAAATATTAAAACCCTTAAGATTTGCCAAGTGGCAAAAACATGCAACTAAATTTTTTAGTTTATAAGTAACGTATTGATTGATAGTGTTGATCGATGATTTTTAAACAAAGTGGCCAAATATATTAATATAATAAATTGATTGAAATTCTTCATATCAGGTAAATAATTTTTAAATAGGAAAAATAGCTTCACAAAAGGGTACTCCTACGAAGGAAACTTTTGGTTTGTAAGTTGATAATTTATTTGGGATTTCTTGGTAACTTGAGGATACAAGAGTGAATTAATATGTTATGATTAATGTTCTTTATTAATTTGATATTTTAACTTAAATTTGTTATTATTAAAAGAATGCAAGTAATATGGTATGGTTACTGATTGTTATAGCTATATAAAATTGCCATTTATAACTTAATTTTAAAAATAACTACAGTTAATTGTGGATTGATTAATTTTCAACTACTGACATATTTTATACTTGGATAAATTAGCAAAAACTAAAGAAAATTTGACAAAAATGCATGATTTAATTATAGATGTTAGGGATAACTATACCCTTCGCTTTCTGAGCATCAACTGCGAAGAAGAAAGAAAAAAAAAAAGATAATCGGGATAACAGATCGTAACTATATACTATAAACGCTTCTCCAAGCAAATGATGGCCTCGCTCTAGAGTGTCCAAAAAGCTCACCGGCCCGGCCTCGGCCCGGGAACCCAGGTCAAGTCCGGGCTCCGGGCCGGGCCCGGGCCGGATTTTTGGTGCCCGGCTCGATCTGGAATAGTGAATTTTTTTTATATGTATTATATATGTATAATATATATATATATAATATATGTATATATAATATATTTCTATATATGTATAATATGTCATATGTGTGTATATATATACTCTCTCTTAGTATATAAGTATATATAAGTATACTCTCTCTTATATAAGTATATATAAGTGTATACTCTCTCTTATATAAGTATATATAAGTATACACTCTCTTATATATGTGTATATATAAGTATACACTCTCTTATATAAGTATATATATGTATAAGTATATATAAGTATACTTTCTCTTATATAAGTATATATAAGAATACTCTCTCTTATATATGTAAATATATTATATATCTATCATATAATATATAATATACTATATCCATAACTAGAGGATATCCGTAGGAGTCACCTATATATAGTATATATATATATATAATATTATATATAATAATATATATAATTCTCTCTCTTAGTATATATAAGTATACCTTCTTATAATAGTGTATACTCGTCTCTTATATAAGTATATAACTCTCTCCTTATATAGTATAATATGTGTGTGTGTGTGTGTATCCTCTCTCTCTTATGTATATAAGTATATAATATATAGTATAGTAATATTACAATGGCTACTTTTGTTCCCGCATTTGCGGCCCAACGGGCAACGGCTACTTAATGCGAAATTGGGCTTTCTCTCTCAAGTTATAACTTATAAATATATACAATATATTTACATATAATATATGTATATATAATATATAGTTACATAATAATTTGTAAGTATATACTAATACATAATTATATAAAATATAATAATATTAAACTATTTTTTAGCAATTTTTTATCAAAAAAAGAAAAGAAAAGAAAAGAAAAGAAATTTAAAAAAACCTAATTGGGATGTACTTATCTATTGTGATTCGATGAATTCCAAAATAAATTTATACTTGTAATTTATAAATAATTTATTAATTATTAATAAAGAATTTATTTTTATATTTTTTTTTTATAATTTATGTCATTTTAAGTGATTAATAAAATTATTATTTTTATTAATTTTTTTGTTTTTTTATAATTTAAATAAATGTAAAAATAATTGATAAAAAAATTTAAAAAAAAACGGGCCGGCCCGGAACTCGGCCTGGTCGGGCCCGGACCCGACCCGGGGTACCCGGGTCCGGGCTCTGGTTTTGCTCGGCCCGGGCCCGGATTTCCGGGCCGGGCCGGCCAGGATGGACAGGCCTACCTCGCTCCCAACCTTGGTGTGAGAACATCATCATTCTCAAAATACTTTGAGCTAAGTACTTTAAAAACCAAATTAAGAGTTTCGGTTCGTCAATAACATCTGTCCTTTGTGGGATTGATATTTGTCTAATTAGTTTTAAACAGTCAGTTGTTTTCTTGAAAAGGAAAACAATATTTTTTTTTATTAAATTTCTTGGGAAAAATGTTTCAAGGCCCCAAAAATAAAAATTGGATGTGGCCCAGCCCCACCAATTATCTTCCTTAGCCTTCAGCCCCAAAAAAATATGAAAATTGTGGTCCAGACCCAAAAGCCCATACGTATACATCTAGTGGGTGTATTTTGTTGCTACCTGCCTAAAATACCATTATCCCTCTCACAGGAAACCGGCTGAATGGGTTCTCTTCTTCCCTGATCTCTCCCAACGCATTTATGGCGAAGCGACGGGGGGAAAGCGGGGGAAAAAGCGCGGGCTCCCGCCATTTTACGGTCTGCTTCTCATCCTTTGTTATAAATTGGTTAGTTTTATCTCTCACTCTCTCATTAATGAAATTAGGGTTTTTTTCTTCAACTGTCAACAACCCTTTTGCACATGAAATCCCCTCAATTACTCCTCAACTCCTCATAATTGCCTTCATAACTGCCCTCATAACTTTCAACCACCCCTAATGGCCGCCAATGACTTGATTTGCATGGTGTCTTTAGGCGAGAATGCCATATTCGTGAAGCTAAGTTCGACAACAAGCTTTTATGAACTCCAATTTGATGTGTCTGAAAGATTGAAAGTACCTAAAGAAGCTTTATCCTTTATATTTAAATCTGAGAGGCACCCCAACCTCAGTTTTTCAGTTGACAACAATGATGATTTGAAGTGCATGTTGGATCACAATCGAAATATTGGTTGTACGGAGATTCACATGCAAGCTGCTGTTAATGTAGAGTGTTCCACTTCAGGGAAAAATCAGAAAGTTATTAGGGGAATGTAAGTAATTAATGAACTCTTTATAACATTGGGCTTTGTGTGATGTAAACATTGTTATTTTTTTCTTCAACTTTCAACCATCCCTTATGGGCATTAAATCCCTCAATGTAAGTTATTATTGATTTGTAAGTAAACAATGAACTCTGTCAGGAATAGGTCTATGTGTGATGATAAGCCAATTGTGATTTCAGGTTTCGATGGTAACTTGGGAAAAAATAGTTGTCATCTCTGATGGTTAGATGTTAACTCTTCATCTTATAGGTTAATTTTCCAAGAGATATGTTAACCTTTACATGAACATGTTAATTGTCGTGGGAACATGGTTAATTTTACACCCAGTTAGTTAACTTTTGTTGTACTATGTTAAGGTTTACGGAAAATGGTTAATTTTACACCCAGTTAGTTAACTTTTGTTGTACTATGTTACCTTTGGTCCTACTGCTGTTAACTTAAATTATCAGAAGATAATATAACATATTGTGCATGATATCTCACTGGTTGATTAATTTGTGCAGTAGTGATGCCTCTTTGAATGTAGAATATA